AGGAAGGAAGGAAGGAAGGAAGGAAGGGAGGGAGGGAGGGAGAAAACTCCTCTAGAGACCTACAATTTTTCAGGTCTGGCTTTAACCTAGTCTTCAAAATTCTCCCGGGATGAAGCTGCATAGTCTTAAGTGGAACAAACCCAAATCCTTTCTACAGAAATATAAATCCTGGATGCCTGGGTGGCTCAGTTGGTTAAGTGCCTGCCTTCGGCTCAGGTCATGATCCTGGGGTCCTGGGATTAAGCCTCACGTCAGGCTCCCTGCTCAGCAGGGAGTCTGCTTCTCTTTCTGCCTGCTGCTCCCCCTATTCATGCTCTCACTCTCTCTGTCAATATAAATAAATAAAATCTTAAAAAGAAATACAAATCCTGAAAGTTTCAGGAGTTATATTTTTGAAAGTTCGGTTTGGGTGATGTCGAGTTTCTGTTCACCCAGCAGCCTTTCACCTTTTCTTGGGGTGGGGGTCAGCATCTGGATTTTCATTAATGACACACTTTAATAATGCCCAGTGCACTTCCCTGTTCTTAGCCAGTATGCAGTTTGCTATGGAAAGTAACAATAATTGAGCACTTGCCAACCTTCAGAAGCTAGAGATGGTTTCAGATACTATTTACAAGCTGCCTTCACAAATAACATCTTTCTAGCTGTGTAGTTTTTATTACCAGTCATGAAAAAACAAACTGGTGTGATCACCATTATATTTTCTTTTTTAAAATGTAACTTTTTGAAGGCCCAGAAACATCTTGCTATGGAAGAATCCTGATTAGGTAAATGCAAATTTACAGATATGAAGATCATCTTGAGGTGGTTAAGGAATTAATGCTTTTATTCTCATTAGTTTATTAATTCTCTGCATGAGAGATTCTATTTATAATTTTTAAAATTTTTTAAAGTTTTTTTTTTATTTATTTGTCAGAGAGAGAGAGCACAAGCAGGGGGAGCAGCAGGCAGAGGGAGAAGCAGGCTCCCCGCTGAGCAGAGAGCCTGATGCGGGACTTGATCCCAGGACCCTAGGATCATGACCTGAGCCAAAGGCAGATGCTTATTGACTGAGCCAGCCAGGCATCACTGCATGAGAGACTTTAAACATCAGTCCATTATAGGCATAAATCAGGCCAGTGTTTCCCAAAGTTTGGTAGCTATCCTTGATTTAGGAGCATGCAATTATTTTAAGCAGCTGGTGATGATGAATATTTAAATATAAATGTTTTATTTGTAATAGAATAAATATACCTGGCACACAGAATCCATGACTTCAAGGGTATTTTTGGCTTGGGATGCTATTCAGTAGGTATTTAAGTTTGAAATGTGTGCTGTTTAAAGAAAAGTTTTAAGTAAATAATAGTATTTGGTGGTGTATGGACATAGCAAAAGCAGTTAAGGTGGCTGTAATGGCTTGAACAGTGATCCCCAAAAAGATGTATCTTAACCCCTGGAACCTGGGAATGTGACCTTATTTGGAAATAGGGTCTTTGCTGATATAACTAAGGATCTCAAGGTAAGATTACCCTGGATTTAGGGTGGACCCTAAATCCAAGGACTATTGTCCTGATAAGAGACAGAAGGAGAAAGACACACAGAGGGGAGAAGGCCACATGCTGTTGATGGAGGCAGAGACTGGAACTATACAGCCACAAGCCAAAAAATGCCACGAATTGCAAGCAGGCACCAGAAGCTAGGAGAGAGGCATGGACAGGAATGTCTCTCAGAGCCTGTAGAAGGAACCAACCCTGCCAACAGCTTGGGACTTCTGGCTTCCAGACCTGTGAAAAAATAAATTTCTGTTGTTCTAAGCCAAGAAGTTTGTAGTAGGGACGCCTGGGTGGCTCAGTTGGTTAAGCATCTACCTTCAGCTCAGGTCATAATCTCATGACATGATCAAGGCCCACATCGGGCTCCCTGCTCAGTGGGGAGCTTGCTTCTCCCTCTCCTCCCTCTCCTCCTGGCTTATGCTCTCTCTTGCTATCTCTGTCTCTGTCTCTCAAATAAATAAATAAAATCTTAAAAAAAAAAAAAAGAAGTTTAGGGGTGACTGGGTGGCTCAGTCAGTTGGGTGTCTGCCTTTGGCTGGGGTTGTGATCTCAGGATCCTGGGATGGAGCCCTGCATCAGGCTCCCTGCTCAGCGGGGAGCCTGCTTCTCCCTCTCGCTCTCCCTCCCTTCTGCTCATGCTCTCTCTCTCAAATAAATAAAATCTTTAAAAATAAATAAATACAGGGCGCCTGGGTGGCTCAGTCGTTAAGCAGCTGCCTTCGGCTCAGGTCATGATCCCAGGGTCCTGGGATCGAGTCCCACATCGGGCTCCCTGCTCAGCGGGAAGCCTGCTTCTCCCTCTCCCACTCCCCCTGCTTGTGTTCCTGCTCTCGTGGTCTCTGTCAAATAAATAAAATCTTTAAAAATAAATAAATAAATAAATAAATACATAGAAAGAAAGAAAAGAAAGAAAGAGAAAGAAAGAAAAAGTAAGTTTGTAGTAATTTGTTATGGCAGTCCTAGGAGACTGATACAATGCGGGGCGGGGAGGGGGGAGTGGGGGAGGCTGAAATTTGGGAAACACTGAATTAGGCACCCAGCCATGATGGGGGTGAGAGGGTTTAACTCTGTGATAAACTGAGTGACTGAGTCACCAACACCCTCATCTGATCTTAACCCCCCAGAGTCCAGCATTTTCACTCAATACAATAGCTGTTTTAAAAGCTTTTAAAAAAATCTAATAACATTTAAATTGAGTAACTATTTTATGCACTTCTTTTCTAGTAAAATTAAATTTCATTTCCCTATGCCTGGATCACCGTCATGACCTCAGGTTCATAAACTAACTCTTGGGAAGGGTTGAGCTCCTCTTGTCTCCCCATTTTACGGATGAGAAAACTAAGGCGCAGATGGAGGAGGTGTCTCCAAGCTTTTAGGAGAGACTAAATGATACAGTACTGCATTTATTCTTCCCCATCTCCAGCAAATACTCCCAGGACCGCTTTTTCCCAGACCCAGAGCAAGAGTCCGCGCCTGCCGCCTGGCGGCCGGACGGGGAGGAGGGCGCAGGGGTTCGGGAGCGGACGCGCTGCAGAGGCCGCCAGTGGCCGGATGGGGGGGCGCGAGAGCTCCGCGAGGGGTGGGGCTCGCGGGCGGCGCGCATGCGTCCGAAGGGACGCCACGGCTTCTTCCGAGCGAAGGGCAAGACGGTGGCCGAGAGGACACGGGGAAGCGGACGGTGGCCGACGAGGTCGGGCATGGAGCATCTGGAGTGCTGCGCGAGGTTCCTGCGGGGGACGCTGGTGCGAGCGGCCGTGCGGCGCTACCTGCCCTGGGCGCTGGCGGCCTCCATGATGGCGGGCTCCCTCCTCAAGGAGCTCTCCCCGCTGCCCGAGAGCTACCTCAGCAACAAGCGCAACGTCCTCAACGTGTGAGTGCGCCCCGGGTCCTCCCCTGTCCCCGCCATAGCCGACCCGCCGTCGCCTCGTCCTGAGAGCCGGGGCTTAGCAGCCCTGATGGACGAGTCGTCGGACGGGGAGGCTCTCCTCATTGTGACAGCTGCGTCTGCACGCGTGTCGCGACCGAGGGACCCCCGAATGGCTATGTCACTAGCAGTTGATGTTCGCACGCCCAGACGAGCCGGCTTGAGTTGACTGGGCAGGGAGTGACGGGCAGGGCGCGCGTGGGGCGGGGGGGCGGGGTAGGGGGTGGGATGGGGCGTTGAATTAGCCTCTGTCGCTGCGCCCCCCACCTCCCCTTGGAGTTAGGAGTCGGCCCCGGACCTGCTTGGGAGATGCCGCCTCCCTCCTGCCTGCCTGCCAGACCCCGCGCTGAGTCTGACCCCTGACCCATCTCACCCCCAAACCCCGGCTTGTGACAATCCCATCACCACCTGTGCCTTCTCCTCCTGACCCCCGAACCTGTGCGAGCCTTGCCCCAGCCTGTGATGGAACCCCCGCTCCGAGATAGTCCCTGAGGAGCGGAATCCTCCAGCCTCTGACCTTTATCCTGGATCTCCTTGGACCTTCTCAGCCACTCAAAGTTCATGGAGGTGGCCCAAGAAAGCAAGCCCAGTTGGGCTCTTTGAGACATCTCCCTAACTCCACCCACTCACGCCTTTTTTATTTTTTTAACTCCTGGATTTCAAGGGTTTTGCACAAAAACACTTGCAGTAGTAAAGTAGTAAAGTTTTATCTGGAAGATAAAACTTCTCCCTTGAAGTGAGCTTAGATTCTTTAGAATTACAGTGTCCGCAGCATCTCCCAAAAGTCAGCCCAACTTTGGCTATCGACTTAAAACCCTGGTTTCTCTCCCCAGCAGTTTTGTCAAATGCCTGACAGGTCTTGGCTCTGGCAAGATCCTTGCATATCAGTCCCAGGGAAGATGTGAGTGACAGGCTCTTGGGTGGTGTCTGAGTAGCCTTTGGAACCCAGGAAAAAGTTGTCCTGTCCTTGGCCCCCCTTCCTTCCTCACCCACCCGTGATGGCTGGGCTAAGAATAGATGATGATGAGTATGGTTGTAGCCCCAAGTCTCTTGCATGTGTGTTTCCTGTGGCTGGTCCCCAGGTCACCCACCTTTGATGAGCGAGGGGAGGCAGACAGGCAGCTGCTGCTTTATCTGGCCTGGGTGAGCTGGGATCCAAGCAGCCTGGCACACAAGTCCCTGTTGTTTGTGGGTAACCATGACCATGGATTCTGACATTTTGTTCCAAGCCTCTGTGCTAACTGGAGGGAACGAGTGAATCATTGGCCCTGGGAGGGATTTAAAAACTCATTTGGTCTCCTCAGCTCTATTTTATAGCTGAGGAAACTCAGGCCTAGGGACATGTGGTAACAGGTTGAGTCAGAGTCAGGATTTGAACCCGGTCTTCTAGCTTGAACTCAAGCTCTGTTCTGAGATCATTGCTGCCATGTAGGAAAGAGCCAGGGTGTAGAAAAAACATGGGCTTTGGGGCTGGCCAAATCTTGATTTACTCTGGGCTTGCTGGTAGTGTGATTGTGACCCTGGGCAAGTTATGGAACTTTTCTGAGCCTCACATTCTCTATAAAATGGGGCAAATGAGACCTTCTTCCCAGGGTAACCATGAGTGTTCTATGTGTCCACTTTCCCGGGCCCTGGATCACAGATTAAGATCACAGGCCCCAGATTTGAATCCCAGCTCCCCCACTTATGACCTCTACTTTGGGCATGATACTCCTGTACCTCAGTTTTCTTATCTGTCAAATGGGGATAATAACAGTACCTCCCTCACCGAGTTGTTTAAGGATTAAGGAGTTATTACATTTGGAATTTAGTAAGTGAACTTTTTATCTATAGCTTTTATCAACTTTTCTTATTTGCCCTCCCTCGAGACTCTAGAGACCCGAGTCACAACCTTGTCTCCTCCCTGTCATGTCCCCTGCCTTCACTTCCACTTTCATCTTCTGCCAGGTATTTTGTGAAACTGGCCTGGGCCTGGACCTTCTGTCTCCTCCTGCCTTTCATTGCCCTCACCACCTACCACCTGACAGGCAAGGCTGGCCTGGTCCTGCGGCGGCTGAGTACCCTGCTTGTGGGCACGGCCATCTGGTATGTCTTCACAGCTCTTTTCTCCAACATTGAACACTACACGGGCAGCTGCTACCAGTCGCCCGCCCTGGAGCGGGTCAGAAAGGAGCACCAGAGTAAGCAGCAGTGCCACGGGGAAGGAGGCTTTTGGCATGGCTTTGACATCTCGGGCCACTCCTTCCTGCTGACCTTCTGCGCCCTTATGATTGTGGAGGAGATGGCCGTGCTGCATGAGGTGAAAACAGACCGGAGCCACCGTTTCCACACCCCCATCACCAGCCTGGTGGTGGCCCTGGGCTTTCTGACCTTCATCTGGGTGTGGATGTTTCTGTGCACGGCCGTTTACTTCCACAACTTGTCCCAGAAGGTGTTCGGCACCCTGTTTGGTTTGCTGAGCTGGTATGGGACCTATGGGTTTTGGTATCTGAAATCCTTTTCCCCAGGACTTCCTCCCCAGAGCTGTAGTTTGAATTTGAAGCAAGACAGTTATAAGGAATAAAAGAGAAGCAAAAGGGGTGATGGCAGGACAATAGCTAATGTATTTTTTTCATTATTTTTCTTAGTTATTTGACTAAATTATTGATTCTGCTTCAGAGAGGAAGCATACCAGGAGGGTTTGGGGAGTGGTGGGCGGAGTCTGGGGAGTGAGTTTAATCCCCACCCTTCTTGTCACAAGCACCACCATTCCCAGTCGGAAACTTTTTGTCCCTGGCAAGACTTGACCTTAATCTGGAATGTCCCTTATGTCCCTGGAGGGCAGAGGTAAGGCTCAGTGAGAGGACAGAATCAGGAAAGCCTCTGTTGTGTGGCTGAAGGGGAGGCCAGGGCCTCAGGACCCTTCTCTGCTGCCATGATCCTCTCCCTGATCCTTGTGTCTCGTATTGTGATGGCTGTTAATGCTGTGGTTTGACTGTATATTGCCCTCTGGTCAGTTTTGCATAAGCATTTATTTCCAGCAGGGTTCTTTATAAAACAGCCAACTGCCTGAAAGACACTCTCTGCTGGTGATACTTGCTTATCCTCAGAATGTTATATATTGCAACTGACTTGTGATTAGCTACCAAAACTGGAGTGCCTCTCTGGTTGAGTGTTGGATGATATTTATGTAACGGACATTGCTAGTCTTCCGTGTATGTTGTCTATCATGTATTGGTTTCGAGCAATAAGGTTACCTTTTTTTCCTACAATTTTGAGCAAATGCTTTATTGTTTTTAATAACAACTACGGCGTTTGTTCTTTGTTGACAAAACCCCTGAGAATAACTCACAACTTCAATGCTGCACTTTGGTACGTGTGTAGATAGCTTTGAGGGTTTTTTTGTTTTTGTTTGTTTTTTTAGAACACTAATTTACTTTTTATAATCCAAACTTTTGGCTTATGGTATTAAATTCCACCTCACTTCAGGGACTGTTTTCTCTATTAAGAATAAAATCCGAAAGCAGACATTTTCATGGCAACTGGATGAAATTTTAAGCTGAGTCAGAGTAACTGCAAAATGCATACTTGCACTGAAACTTTCCTGACCACACATCAGTGGTTAATCTGAACAGCGTTATGATAAGTGCATTGATCTGTCTGCTCTGGCCCAAGGAATTTTTACATTTTGGATGAGATTATGATAAATCGGAGGTGAAAATGTCTTCCATTGCCTCTGATGGCAGGAAGCCAAACTGTAAAAATGTCCCTATTAAATATTGGAGTGACTTTGTCCCCACCCTCCTTCTTGTACCAACACCAAACCAAACCTGGGCCTGTTCAGCTGGCCTTGAAACCGATCTTTCTTTCCCCTACGCACACTTCCCAACGTCCAGCCCTGTCCTTCTGTGGCCTGTCACCTCCACCCACAAAGGTGCCATTACAGCTCTGTGATAGGACACCCCCCCAACCCCCTGCCCCCGCAGGCTACATCCTTAGGCCTTTTGTACCTGGCCCTTTGCACTTTGGATAATCATCCCGGAGGCTTCCTTGATGTTCTTCTTCTCCCCCCCAAGTTAAGCCCGATAATAGCATTAACTGACAAGCACTACACTTGACTGCCTTAACTCAAGCTTAGATTGTTAAGAGCTTGAGGCCCGGAAAATCTTCAGGGTAAATTGTCTTTTATATAAAGATGTATTTAAAATATGTAGTTGGTATCCCATCAGGCTACATGTTAATTTGTATCCATCAAAATGTAAGTTGTGCTACATTGTACCCAGAGGTGGCAGAAACACTGGTGCTGGGATTCCAGAGGTGTCACCGGGGTGCTTTGGGAGCCTTGGCAAGATGTTGCAGGCCCTGTGAGAAATCTTTTGCCCTCTGGAGTTTCCGTCTGTGAACAGGGAGTGGGAGAGGGGGTGGCATAGGTGGCTGGGGCTGGTTGAAGGGGTTGGGGTCTCTCCTGAGTTTCATGTTCAGCACCAAAAGGCAACAGGCACAAGGTGACTCCACACGTTCATTTGTCACACTTAAATCTCCAGTCATTTCTTATAGATCGGATCCAGGCTCAGCATTACGTTAATTCTGTGGAAAGCGTCCGTGACTGACCCTTGTGTATCGAGTGGTCATCCACCACTTCCTGTTCCGTCCTAGCACCCTTGCCTTTCTCTCGGGCACGGGTTCTGTATCCCCGTGTGAGACAGCCTGGTGTAACTGAGCGTGGGCTTAGGTAAACCCAAGATGTGGGTTCCAGTGTTGGCAGCACTGCTGAGAGTCGTCTGACCTCGGGCAGGCTTCGTGTCCACATCTGGACAATGGAGGAGATGATACAGTGATGCATGTAAAACACCCCGCACCTGTGCTCAGCAGACGATAATCCCCCGTTTCCCTTTGCCGCACCAAGCCTTTAGAACTTCTTGGCTCCTTAGGGAAGGCAGGGAAATGAGCATCTGCTTTCAAGTACCATTTGGGGTCTGGGTCTCCCATTGAAATAGTCTTGTATCATCTTCTGGAAAGTGTCTGTTGTCCCCAGGTGCTGAACAAGAGGCTTTTAAGGGCATCTGTGATCCCAGAATCCCGCCGTGCTTGTTTTGCCTCTCGTTCTGAGGTTCATTCACTGACGCCTCATTTTCCATGTGCATCTGTCATCATCTGAGTAGCAGATTGTATTTAGAGAATGGTTCTTGACACTGTTATGCACACACAGATCATGTGTGTAAACAAGCAAATTAAGTAAACTGGGGATAATGAAATCCCACATTCCATGTCTCGTGTGTTCTTTTCTAAAACCCTTAAGAAAGCCCAGAACCAGGAAGGCTCAGCCTACTTGAGGACAAGGGTGTAGTTCTTACTTGAGCTACTCACTATATAGGGTATTTCATGACCGTACTTACTCTTTTTGTTTCCTCCTAAATCCTACAAACTAAGTTTGGTTTATGTTCAGTCACATATTTCCTAGCTTGATTGACTCCTTCCCTCTGTGCCATATCTGTGTCTGCGAGTCCCGAGGTCTGGATCAACCAGATTTGGGAGTTTTCCTGGCAGAAGGAGAAGAGCTGAGCTTCATGGAAGTCCTGCTGGAGAGCAGTTAGAAAGTTCACTCCCATGAGGTCGGCTGGGAGAGTGCGCTGTGCCCTGGAGGCACACGTGAGGGCTTTCTGTGCCATTTCGTGCCCACTCATTTGTCAGCCTGACCTGCTTGGCACCGCCAGGCAGTGTCTGTCGAAAACTCTGCAGCTCCAGGATTAGAAGCTCCTCATACTGCAAAACTTCCCTGTGCACATTCCTTCACGGGCACCAAACTTCCCAAGTTCGTGCTGTGAGCCAGGAACTGATGGGGTAGGCTAAACTCCCTCCCCGCTGGTGTTTGTGGCGCAAAGTCCATGGCCTCAGAGCTTCGGGTATGTGCTGGGGTTGCGGAGGAGAGTTTGATGCATCTGTGCGTTCAAGGAATTGTCAGTCTTGTGGAGAGGACACAGAAGGAGCCAGCAAGCACCATCCAGTGTTCTGAGTGCTGGGGCAAGGTCAGGGCCTGGGCCCAAAGCGCAGGGGACAGCCAGCTGCCCTGGGGAGTGAGGGGGTATTTTCACAGAATATAACCAGTTAGGCAGAGAAGGGAATCCCAGGAAGTGAGAACAGGATGCACAAAGGCACAAAGATCGGCTATGGTGAGTTTTATCCAGACATCCCTTCTCAAGAAACCTACCATCCCCCCACTTTTCAAGAACAACAGAGCACGAAGAAAGGTAGACTTAAAGAAGGACCGTCGGCGGATGTGATGGATGGGCCCTGCTGTGAGCTAGAAGTCAGGCTACCTGGCTCTGAGCTGGATTCTGCCACTGCTTGTGCTGCTTTTCCGTGTGACTTTGAATTCGTCACTCATCATCTCTGGCTCTCGATTTCCTTATCAGTAAATGACAGGAGTAGACGAGTAATCTCGCCAACTCTTCTGGCCTATTCTGTTTCTCTATTCTGCTGGGTGAAGCTTCCCAAGCTGGTTATGATTCCTATTTTAGGACACAACATGAAAAAAAACTCCTACTCAGAGCTGAGGTGGCAACTGGTTTTTTAGTGAGTGACGGAGGAGCCTACCTCTGGGTGCTTTTTATCACCACCACCCCCCCCCCCCTTTAACTCTGCATTAATAGCCTAATGTAGCTCAGACGTGATGGCAGGCGTTCACTGGATTTACTGGACGCTGGGAGCTGAGCCTCATTCCCAGAGGGATAAGCTGCAGAAGCCTTAAAAAAAAAGTCTCCACACTCAAGCCATTTTTGACAGCTATCCGGGAGAAGGGAGGTTCTGTTAAGAGAAATCCTGTGCATTGTAGTCACCTTCAGAACTTGTCCTAGAAACCCCTCATACAGTCTCTGACGAGTTTTTAAAGTTGAACACACACAGTGCAGAAAGCAGGTACTCTCATCGCTTGGGGAGACAGGAGATGGTAAATTGGGACCGCATGTTAGAAGGTAACCTAGTAGTGTCCAGACTTAAAGTGTGCGGACCCAACGATCGCAGTCTAGGGCTGCAGGCTGTGGAAATGCTTGTGGAAGTGGGCAAACAGAAGTCGAAAGACTTTATTGCAGCTCCTTGGAATAGTGAAAAGTTGTCAAGATTTGTTTAACTGATGCCAATCAGTCTAAACGAATTATGGTAACTGTATTAGGAATATGATGCACTCGCTACAAAGAGTCAGTGCTGTTGTATTCAGCGTGGAATCTGGAGGCAGGAAGACTTGGATGCCCACTGACCAGAACTTACAACTGTGTGCCCTCGGTCACATCAGTCTGTCTGAGCCTCTGTTCCCGAAGCGTAAGGTCGGGATGCTGCCGCCTCGCGGCCTTCAACACTCACGGCTCCTGCGTTCCAGGTGCACTGAGGGAACCGGGCACCATGGGAGACACAGTGTTCATTCGGAGAGACGCGGTGCCTTCGGGGGGTTCATCTAGCTGGGTGCAGGCGATGAATGGAGCGACTCCAAACTGCGCTGAACATCGAACGTGGGGTGTGCCCCCAACCTACCCTGACCTGCCACAGCTCAGGCGGAAATGGTTTGCAGGAAGCACTTGGAGGAGCCAAGGAGGAAGGAGGTTAACATGGACTCTGGCCAGACTGCCTGGGTTCAAATCCTGGCTCTGCCACAGACAGACAGACAGACACACACACAGAGACACACACACGCACCACACACCACCCACACACAGACACACACAGACATACACACACACACCACCCACACACAGACACACACAGACATACACACACACACCACACACACACACACACAGACACACACACTGGCTTTGTGACCTTGAACAGGTTCCTTAACCTCTGGCCTCAATTTCCTCACTGTAAAATGGGGATAATAGAAGTACCCACTTCATAGGGTTGTTGTGAGAATTAAATGAACTGATGCTTGCAAAGTGCTTAGAACAGGACCTAGTATGTGAGAAGTATGGACAACCGACTTCAAGTGCACAGAGTCTCTCCTGCACCATCGTCACCCTGATTTACTTTACAATCAGGAGAAAGAAACCCTGTACACATCAGTGTTTTAATTTTGATCAACTCAAAAGTAATTAAAATGTACAGATAATGAATGTAGAAGGCCGTGTGCCAGTGACCTAGCGTGGGAATGGAGTCTCTGAGAGTCTGCCGTCTGCTTTCAAGGTTACCTGGGGGTTGAGGGAAAGCAAGAGAGGTGTTCTCCAGGAGAGCCGAAAGGAAAGGCCATCTGTTTATCTGTGGGGTTTGGGGGGCAAGGTAAAGTAGGTCTCCCTGTTTGAGGTGCCTTCCACGCACAGGCAAGCTAAAATCTGGCTGACCCGGGTTTCCAGGTGGCTTATTTTTGGGAACTGGGCTGGAGGCCTTATCAGGGAGCCCTGCCACTTTACTGGTCTTCTCTGCTAGGGTGTGGCTGCCTGGGGGGGTGTGTGTTCCTGAGATGTCTGAGTGCTTAGGAGATAAATAGGTGGAGAAGCCTGAGAGCCACCCCTGATTAGCATCTTAGTTTCTGGAGCAAAGTTGTCCGGGCCCTGCCCAAACAGGCTGCTGTCGTTCATTGCCCACGGCCCCCTTCTTCCATCCCTTTTTGACTTCTGCTTGCATTTCCTGAGCATTCTGTGTTTGCCAGATACGCCCATGCTCCTGGGGACCAATGCAGGGGCGAATGGGTGACTCTCATCTGGAGTTATTAGAAGCTTTGGATTGGAGCAAGCAGACTACATTCAAATCCTACCTGTCCACGCCTCAGCTGTGTGATCTTAGGCAAGTCACTTAGCCCCCCTGGGCTTGTTACTCATTTATGAGGTGGGGATAATACTTTTTTTTTTCTACCTCCCTAGTCTTTGATTGGTGTAATGAAATCATGGATGGGAAGATATTTTATAAGTTTTAAAATACCAGGCACCTTTGAGGGCTGCTCATTACTGAAGAGATTCACTTTTGCCTAGTGAATGTCTCTCTCAGAAGCCTGGGCACTGTAACTCCTACCTGTCCCCAGTAACCCTGAAATGACTCGGTGTCATCAATGTACTCTTGAAAATACAACATTGAATACAATGAATAATAACTAGCATTTGCTCTGAATTTTTTAATCTGGTGCCTGACATTTTTATTATATGATCTCAACTATAATTCCCCATGACCTAGGCCCTAGAGAAAACAGGAAGACCTTTGGCTTCTAAGGCATTTGGCTTCCAATCCCAGCTCCACCCCTGTTGCTGTAATAATGCTTGGTGACAAACCTCCCCCAACATGATGGCTTCGGACCACAGATGCTCACAGGTCACTGCAACCCGCTGACATGGGCCAGCCTGGATGCGTAAGCTCCGCTCCAGGCCACAAGTCTGCTCTACTTTCATTCTGGGCCCAGACAAAAAGGCCAGCAACTACCTGGGTCGCGCTCTTATGACAAGCACGGGGACATGAAGGCTAAGATGAACAGAGCAGTATATTAAAGCCTCTGCTTGCGTCCCGTCCTTCCACTAACATTCCACTGGCCCGAGGTGGTCACAGGGGCAAGCCCAGCATCCGTGGCACAGGGAACGAGCTCCACCCACAGTGGGACCTGCTCCAGAGTCACATGGGAAAGGCTGTGGATGTATCATCCTGTGAGGGAATCCAGTAACCTAGTCTATCCCTTGTACCTTGGGTACTTAACTCCCTGAGCCTCTGTCTCTTCATCAGTGAAACATAAAAATCGATGTTTTGCAGAGTTAGGAATAATTTATGTGAATTTCCTAGGGCATAGTTAGTGTTCACTGGATGGCAGCTATCAGTATTATCAGCTCCATTTTAGAGATGGGAAAACTGAGGCCTTCAGCCACTGTGGGCCCAGGTTGCGAGGGGAGGACCAAACAGGTGTTTGGGGATATGCTGGAGTGACCTGGACAAGTGATTCTGTGACTTTGGTAGTGAAGAGCTGGTGAGCTGAAGAAAATACAACCTTACTGTGCTCCCCACCACAGACTTTTTGTGACAGTGGAAACTTTGCGGATGCCCATTCTCACAGTCCAGGGGGTGGTGGTGGTGACCGAGCTCTGAGAGCCCCACATCCCCTTCATCCCTACATCCCTCCAGCGTACCTCCTAGAAGGCTCAGCAACTGATGGATTCTGAGCAAAGGTTTACATGTTGACTCTTCTTGTCCTCCACCCTAGGTTCTCTCCCTGACATTCCAAGAGACAGAATGGGACCAGGGAAAGGACTCTCGGCTCTAGCTCACTCACAGTGGGATCCTGACCAAACCAGACAGCAGTCTATCT